TTCAAGTGCATTTGTTCACCAAATAGTAACACAGTAGGCGCCTCATTTTAGTGCTTGCACGACATGTAGACAAGCTCTTACATAAACTGTCCTCAGGTAGGCTCCAGGTCATTTGAGTTGTATTCATCTGCCCCGCCATCTTGAATCCATGATCCCTTGACGCATAGGCACCCTCCGGCCACAGAAGGCCCAACATTGCACCCTCCTCCTTTGCCATTTCCGACTCTTCTCCTCTAAAGTCGCCACGCGCCACTCGTTTTCTGCATTGTTGTTTGGCCGAGGCGCTTCTAACCCCCTCGACCTCGGGGTTGGTCAACCCTGGTTCACATCTGCTCTCTTGACTGGCAGAGGCTCCAGTACCATTCAACTCCCGCACAGGACGTCTCTGTGTCGGAACGCCATCTCTAAAGGTCTTGAAGGCCGATGAGAACGGCATATTGTTCCATGACAGGCGCTCATAAGAGGTTGACACAGAGGGGTCCACCAAAGACCAGACGAACCGGTAGACTAGTGGTGAGGCCTGAGTTTCTTCAAACCGAGAGCTCATTGAAGTGTACGCATATCCGGAACGTCCGGCAAAGAAAGCTTTTGGAGGCGGTTTCCAAGACGCCTGTAATGTCCATCTGGTCCCGGGGAGTGATGGGACTGCCGGAAAGCCTGACTTTTGTATATTGGAGCGCAGAACAACTTGCAGATCTCTAGGCGCTAAGGGTGCTGTCGGAGTGGAGGCAAAGAGAACGGAAATATAGGAAAGTTGAATAATAGAATAGTTGTAAAACTGTAATCTTTGGCATACGTAAGTCTATTAGTTGCTAAAAAGAGTTATTTTAGCTTTATTCACACTTTAAAGGAGACATATAGAACTCTCTGCCAAATATTACGTTGTCATGACAAGTTTTTGCAAAGAAGATAAACAGATTCCGCCAATAAAGAGATCGTTTGTATAGACCTCTCAGCGTCCCGGTCCATCGTGTAATGAGATCATGGAGATATTTCTCAACACTTTTGACCTTCCAGCCACGAGCTTAGTGTCACCTAGAAACACCTGATGCTCGTAATGCAATAAAGTGGATTTCGTAAGCCTGACCCCACCAGCCCGATCACTCCTTCCTCCAAGCGACTCAGTCTTCCTTGCGCGTCAATTAGCTGGTGGCTGATTCAATGTGTTGTGGATCCTTACCTTATTTCTTCTGCCAGCTTCACATTGCTCCTGTTCGTCTGGCACAGTCTCAGTGCGGTGCCACTCGTTTCGGGGCTACTACCCGCGTCTTTCACACCCTCTGGGCAGCTGCACCCAACGCAACTAAAGGTCGGGTAACTGGCTCTTTATAGCCGGCGTTTTCACCACCTGCCCTTGCCCATTTTGTGCCCAGAGATCCAGCTAGACCCGACAGCAGATACCTGCTGTCGCCGCAAGACCCCTCAATCGGAGTAACACTATCGGTTGTCTCCAAGCTTCCCTCTTTGTCGGCTCGTGATATGAGAAAGTGAACCAAATTAATGCACACTCTTTTAACCTCAAAGAGACTTTCCTTGCACATATGTTTTCTTTGGTAATATTTCGATGAATTTCTCTGATCCGCTAAGGTATACCTACGGCCAAAAAAGGCCGCTGACCCCTAATTCCTCTGGTATTCTATATTCTTCTTGATCGGACATGCAAGTGAAATCAAATAGACCCTAGAGTGACGCCGCGGCACGTGGAGCCAACACACAGACTAAAAAGTTGGGTGGCACCAAGTAGACGGTAAAAGCTTGCTCAACAGGAGATTAACGAAGATTAACTGGGTTTCGATGAATTCCCTAAGATACCAATGTTGGGGAGGATTTGCTTTTATTTGAAAGTGCACGAAGAAGAGATTCAAAGGCCGATCTCACAAACATGAAACTCAAGAACGAAGATAACAGACTCTCGAATAGTATGAAGAATTCATATGCATTTTTTCAAAGGATACAAAACATTAGTCTGGTGGGGACGGAATTGTTTGTACGTTTCGACGTACAAACCATGTAAGCGCCAGCTGGATATATTGGAGTGAGATGATATCCTGAAAGCAGAACGGATACGGATGGAGTCGTTACCACGACTGATCAACCTGATAGTAAGGGCAACCTATTTTACATTTAACGGCAGTATCTACGAGCAAATATTTGGACTACCAATGGGATCTCCATTCTCACCTCTTTTGGAAAATGTATTAGGGAAAAATTGGAAAGGGAATTAGAGAAGTTAGCACTGCAACCAAGAGTGTTTATGTGATGCCTGGATGACTAGCTTGCACTTTGGTCACATGGTAGGGAAAAGTAAAATGAATTCCCCAATTTCATTAACCAACTTGATGAAAGCGAATGAACGACTACCATTTCTGGATATTGAAGTCATGCGCTCTAAGGAGACACTCATGAAGAGATTATACAAAAATAATTCATATTCGGTAATAATCCTTAATTTTCAGTCTCAGTATAACTACAGACTAAAGCTCGGAATAGTGAGGAGTTTGATCATCAGAAGCTTACGACTAACGGACACTGAGTCCTGGGACGAGGAGTTGGACAAACTGATACGGATTTGGCTTAGTAATTGGTACCCCCAGATACTTTATCGAAAGAAATGCAGGTGTCCTAAAGAGCAGATTTCAGCTAGGATTTTATGAAAATTAGATCAGGAATCGGGAGACTACCAAAAATGGATATGTCTGCAATCCTGAGAACTGAGCAAAAAATTGGGAACGTTACTAAGAAAATGGAATAACAAGTTGATAACAAAAGAGAAGACAACACTTCTCACTAGTTTCCTGACTCAACACGAGAATAATGACGAACCGGATTGCTCGCAAGTTTATCACATCAAATACGGCAATTGTGAGCAGAAGTGTATTGGTGAAGCAGGAAGAAAAATCGGCCTACGAATAAAGCAATATTAAAGACTCTGCAAGAAAATGGATACGGAAAGATCAGAAATAGCGGAACATATTGCATGTACGGGATGCAAAATAAAGTGAAAATCAGCAGAAAGGGTGGCTGCATTTGGTAAAGATACCAGAAAACGCAAGATCCGAGAGGCCGTCTATATACTGGCCGAACGAAATCTAATGTACAGAAGACTTAAAGAAGGCTGGATCAGCAAAAAGTTGGCATATCTTTTAAGCAAATTCAAAGTGGATCGGGCAACAATAAGATCAGAAGAAGAATACGACTGGATCAAGGTAGCATTTTTAATTTTATGAAAAGTAATCGCGACGAGATCAGAAAGGAACAATTCGTAAACCAGGAGGAGACGTCCGCAGTGAGTCTAATTAAAACAGGTAGAACGACATCATTTGTGGGTTGGCACGCAAAAGACTAGGGCATAGGAAGTCATAGACTTGGCAACATGGATGCAAGCACGATATATGCGACGGAGACTAGAGCTGGTCGGCAAACAGCAGACGTGTTTCATCATAGACATGGTCCATGAAGCAAAGTCTTGATCATGAGAATAACTCGGGATTTATAGTCTCAAGTTCGTCTCCCATCCAGCTTGAGAATCCAGACTTTGTCGGCCTACTCAGCGAGGCGGGAGTATATATGCCATCAAAGGCTTCGGGCAGAGTGTGGGAAATAACGCCTCAAGTATCGAAGAAAGGGTTGCATGGCTCGAGTGGGATACCTGAATCAGGCGGATAGGTAACGGAGCATACGGAGCAAGAGGATTGCGGAATAATATGACAGAGTCTGATCAACATTCCCAGCACAATGTCAGAAGTGTGGGGTGTGAAGAGACCTCATGAAATCCGTTCAAAATGGCACACCATACCGCATTTAAATAAGCGGTTAAGAAATTGTGATATTGAAGGAGTGGTACGAGGAAATGGGAAAGGTGAATAGCCCAGGACCGATGGAGAGATACCACAACTGTTTAGCACACATTTGGTCAAAGGATCGGCTTCAATTGTCTTTTTGATGAGTTGTTGTGTGATGCTCACGATATCGATTACGATGCCGGGGAAACGTCTGGAAATGTACCAAGTCCACGGTCCGACTCTGGAAATGATCATGCATACTATGAACTCCGGACAAGCTGTGTTCCTCAAGGTCTTCCTGCCAATATGACCAAGTTTCGAAAACAAGGTCAAGCAATTACAATAATTTAGTCAGCCTAGCTTGTTTAAGTTGATTTAAGGACCATCAATGCGATTTTTACCAATGTCATTTGAATAAGCTACATGATACAATTAAGCTTACCTTAGCCTCATTATCAGTTTATAAGTAGATTTTCAAGAATTAGTAAATCGGTTATCTGAAATGTATTCATACTAGTTCGTTTAAGGTGATGCAGGTCCGATAAACAAAAAAATGAGTTATGCAGACAATTGTTTCATCGACAATTCCACCAAAGAATGTGATATGGGAAAATGCCTCGCCTTTCTCGA